CCATTCCCTTCCTACTCCAGGAGAAGGATACTGTAAAATCTCCATTCCCTTCCTCTCCAGGAGAAGGATACTGTAAAATCTCCATTCCCTTCCTACTCCAGGAGAAGGATACTGTAAAATCTCCATTCCCTCCCCTCTCCAGGAGAAGGATACTGTAAAATCTCCATTCCCTTCCTACTCCAGGAGAAGGATACTGTAAAATCTCCATTCCCTCCCCTCTCCAGGAGAAGGATACTGTAAAATCTCCATTCCCTTCCTACTCCAGGAGAAGGATACTGTAAAATCTCCATTCCCTCCCCTCTCCAGGAGAAGGATACTGTAAAATCTCCATTCCCTTCCTACTCCAGGAGAAGGATACTGTAAAATCTCCATTCCCTCCCTACTCCAGGGCAAGGATACTGCAAAATCCCCATTCCCTCCCTACTCCAGGAGAAGGATACTGCAAAATCCCCATTCCCTCCCCTCTCCAGGAGAAGGATACTGTAAAATCCCCATTCCCTCCCTACTCCAGGGGAAGGATACTGCAAAGTCCCCCTTCCAGTGCATTCAGTGGTATTTACCAGTTCTCTGAACTACTCAAAATTTCCGCTATCAGTTCTCCAGAACTGGACAGAACCTGCTGAATACCACCTCTGGTCTTGACCTAAGGAGTGTAGGATTGATAGGCTAGAACTAGAAAACTGGCAAAACAAATGAAACGGGGTAACTGGGCCGGTGTGTGTCAGACGAATTCCTGCTAGAAATACTTGGCTTCAAGTCTTTGTTTATATGAATCCAGCTTCTAGCTGCGCATGGGGCTCATTAAAATAACTTTGCGGGAAAGTTTAAAGGTTAAGCATTTTGTCAGAGATTCCAGGGGAAATAATGTCAAACTGTGTGTCTCTCTCATTCTCAAATCTGTCCATAAAATAATCACGTCAGGCCATATTTATTTGTTCCTGCCACAAAGTTTGAAATCCTTTGTCCTTCTCCCACATATTTCTCCATCTACAAGACTGCAGAAGTAGTGAGAAGGAATTCTTTTTGTTTTCTTCTCCACAAGGCATAAATCCAGAATTACTCTTTCACCTTAAAAAAAACAGGAGGGGGGGGAGAGGAGATATTTTAAACCTTACGGCAATGGTTCCCTGTGGAAATATTTATAATACTTCTAATTTCTTTCCTAGCAAAAGATGTTACTCATATCTGCCCGTTTACCGGAGGTATTCGAGGAACTTTGACAGTTACAAATTACAGACTGCATTTTAAAAGCATGGAAAGGGTAAGGCTTAATAAATTGCTTTTAAAAAAAACTTTTTTCTTGTTTTTGATGGATACTCTATTTGAAGGGGGGGCACAGCTCAGTATGTACTTTGTGAGCCATGATGGAATCTTCTGCCTTTCAAAGTGGAGTTGAAAAATCTCACATGCTTATATATTAAGTGATTACACAATAATAGCCTTCAACATAAAATAATCAGAACTGAATTTTTTATTGCACAACAAATACTTAGATGCAGCATTTCTTTTTATCTAACACTAGCTGATAACCTGGCGTTGCCCAGGTATTTATATGTCCTAATCCTGTATTAAATAGGAAAAGCCCTGATTTTGTTGAAAATGTCCGGACCAAACATAATTTCTAATGTTGGGTTTTCTCCCTTATCAGTGGGAGCCCCCTTGTGGAGCACTGAACCATTATCATGGCAACTCCACTGTGCTTTACAGTAGAAGCCATTTTAAGGCACAACAGACTGTATCTTAACAGAACACTCCCACCCCCCAAAGGGTGTTAGGGGTGCCTTTTCCCCACAGTATTTGTTTCTAGAGAGTAAGTCATCTGTGTACCAAGTTTGGTTGAAATTGCTTGACCTGTTCCAGAGTTATGCTGGAACACACACACACATATACACACACTATACTGAATTTTGGATGAAAAAGTCAAGCAATTTAATGCTTGCATTATCAACATTCTATATTTTAATTAATATTGATAGAATATTTCTTCCTCTTTATTTCCAATACTATAACTCAATGTTTCTCAACCTTGGTAATTAAAAAATTGGTGGACTTCAAATCCCAGAATTCCCCAGCCAGCTATTCTGGCTAGGAAATTTTGGGACTAGAAATCCACCCATCTTCAAATTACTAAGGTTGAGAAATACTGAATCCCTTTCTATTTTTAAAAATTATCAAGAGCTTTTGTTTGTATGGGTTATATTTATCAATATTTACCATATTAAAAATTAAAATCAATGCATTCTCTGTCACTACGTGTCTATGGAGATTTTCAGTATCTGGATTTATGGCTGTCCCAAAGATGCTTTTTCCAAAAAGCAATCAGACTTTCTTGATTTTGCTTCTCATCCAAGAAGCTTCTTCAGAACTGAAGTGTTCTGACCCAAGCTTCTTTAAAAAGCATGAAGCAGAGTCTGGGTCCCGGCAAAACCTCTTTTATTTACAGGACTGTAAACTCCTTTCATTCACAGTCAGCAAGGCTTTGCAAACAGTCTGTCAGAGGAATATTTATCAACACGAACCTTATCTCGCTTGGAGAGCTGCCAGATAACTAGTTTCCAAACGCAGGACAAGGCAAAATTTGGCACAGAGTCTCTTATAGTCACAAACAGAACTTTCCACTCTTGAAACGACCAAAGGAAAGAATTGTTTCCTGAAAAAGCCCACTCCCCGTTTTGTTTCCTATGGGAGAGTCCAATCACCTCCAAGGTGTGACTTTACTCCCAAGTCAGCCCCACTTTCTTAGTTGTTCTTGTCTTCTGGCAGCTCTGCACATGCACACACTGGGAACGGGCTCTAGCTGTTCCTCTGCCTCACTGCTGTCTAGCTCCCTCTCTGCCTCCAATGCAGAGCCGTCATCTGAGCTTTCGTCAGCCTCCAGGACTGGCCCATGTTCCTCCCCAACCTCCTCACTGTCTGACTCTGCTGCTAGCTTTGTTGGCCGTCGGCAGGCCACAATGTGAAGAAGGAAAAAACCAAGAAAGTCCAGTTGCCTTTTGAGAAAAGCACTTTGGGAATCTCTTTGCCTCTACCTTTTATCCTGATTGTTTGATGGGATTTTAATATTGGGCTATTTTTCTAGCTAGGTTGGCAAATAATTTTGATTTTGAGGAATGCAGCGAGAGCCTTGGGGATCCCAGGACCATACTTTAAGAAACACTGCCCTAGGTTAGCTAAATAATAGAATGCCAATGATTTTTAATTGATATTGCATAAATATTATTCCTCTGAAACAATATAATGTGTCAGCATTTACAACTACATAATGAAAAGGAGGGAGAGAAAAACTCACCTGTGAAAACACTGGAGCGACATTGCCAGCAACGTAGATAAATGTAGGCTAAATGAACCAGGACTTTTACGGATATTCATCAACTTCAAATATTCATTAGGACTATAAAGCACTTTAGATTCAGTCTCCAGAGAGCAAGTCTGTTATTTCTTGCACAGTGATGCCAAAATTTATGATTGCCATAAGAAGGAGCAAAGCAAAGCTGTAATATTCACATTTCCATACCATGCATAGAACAAAAAGCCACTTTAAAATTTACATTTTCTCATAGCTTGTATTTTTATAGACAATGGCAGTGGGTGGGATTCAAATAATTTAACAACCGGTTCTCTGCTCTAATGACCAGCTGGGTAGGCGTGGCTCAGTGGTCACATGACTTGGTGGGCGCGGCCAACTCAACATCACTCATGTGGTGGGTGATGTAAGGGTTAACCGGAGAGGCAGTTTCAGTAAGCAGGGCAATAAAGATTAGGCTAGAAACAACACCAGAATGTTTCCTTCCTGCCTCCCTTACAGGATTAGCCCTGTAAAGTGGGAAAGAAGAAAAGGAAACTTCTTCCAACAACTGGTTCTCCAAACTGCTTAGAAAGTTAACAACCGGTTCTCTCGAATAGGTGCGAACTGGCTGAATCCAACCACTGGACAATGGTCATGTGTTGACATGTAACAAAGGGAAATATATTTTGTGCTGAATAGTCATTTAGGTGTTGGATTAAGCTTGGGGAGATCCAATTTTATCCACTCTTAGTTGTGGAAATTTTCTGAGTGATTTTGGCCAGTTTTTCTCTCTCAGACCACCATATTTCACAGAGAGCTTGTTTTGGTGGCAAAATGAAAACAGATTCAATGTGTAATACGCTATATATAATAAGGATATATATAGTAACTAATGCAGGGGTATCAAACAGGGTGCTTAGATCTGGCCCAGGGGGCCACTCTGAAAACAGAGAAGGACTAGCCCGCAGTCCCTCTGCCAGTGAAAATGCAGCTCCATTTTCACTGGCAGAGGGTTGCAGGAGACTGTCACAGCTGAAAACGGAGCTTGGGAGCCCATTTTCTCTGGCAGAGCGCTCAGGCCGCCACAGACACCCCAACACGAGTGATGGTGAGCAGGCCACGCCCATCCTGGCCACGCCCCACGCCCTCCTGGAAGTCAAACACAACCCTCAATGAAATTGAGTTTGATACTCCTGATCTAATGCATTAATCTTAACGGTATCCTCAGCTTTCTGAATGTGTTCGTGAGTTTAATGCATAGCTATGTATCAAAAAATCAAATCCTTAGCTCTGTTAGCTCTGTCTAACAATAATTCAGTAGTTTGGATGCTTTATTAATAAATTTCCATTTTTTTGCAGAACCCTCCATTTGTTCTAGATGGCCCTCTTGGAGTGATTAACAGAGTAGAGAAAATTGGAGGAGCTTCCAGTCGTGGTGAAAATTCATATGGCCTAGAAATTGTGTGCAAGGTAAACTGGTTTATCAAGAATTAGAAAATAACTGAGTTCACGATCCATATAGCATGTAATGGGTATGGCTTATAACGTTCTTAATGGACCTCCAGTAAAGCATGTTGCCAGAAAATTCATATAATCATAAAATGTAAGGGTTGTGAATGACTCTGAAGATCATTTAATCCAACCTCCTGTCGAGTTGAAGAGTGGACTGCTCTGGTTTTATGTTTTAAGGTATAATAATTTTAGATGAGGTTCATTGAAGTTAAACATTTTTTGAGTCTGGAGACCACTCTCGCCTACGTTCATGATTGAATGAAAAGCTAAATTTAAATTAGAGATTAGTGGGGAATAAAAGTCATGTCATTTTTCCCATCCAAGTTTGTGGCTTCCTTGAAAACTACCGTATTTTTCGGAGTATAATTCGCACCAAGATTTTGAAGAGGTAAAGAAGTTTCTGCACTCTGCAGACCTCCCAAACTTTCTGCACGCCTCATTTTTTGTGAAAAATGTGGCATGCTGAGAGTTTGAGAGCAAATAATGGCCCATTTTTTTGCAAAAACGGCCCCTTTTTTTGCCAAAAAAAGGGCATGGATAGCCTTTAGGAGGCTTGTAGAGTGCTCTGGAGGAGGGGCAAAAATAAGCAAAAAAAGGGCCCATTTTTCGCTTGTTTTTCCCCTCCCCAGCCCCCAGGAGCACTTTGTAAGCCTCTCAGACTCTGCACATTCATTTTTGTGAAGGGGGCGGGGTTTCGGGAGGCCAAAAATGGTGTATTCAGTGTATAAAACGCATCTAGATTTTCACCCTCTTTTTTGGGGGGGAAAGGTGCGTCTTATACTCCAAAAAATATGGTACTTCACGGACACCAGATTAAAAATCACAGTTCAAAGTGACTTGTGGTTTTTACTGCTTACAAAATAATTTTCCTCCTCTCCACAATATGACATAGGAGGAATTTGGCAACAATTGATAATTCATTTCTCAGCAAATGAATTAGTATTGGGGGGGGGGGGGCTAATGGGCTTCTGGTACAATCTCATGTTTTCCCTACATTTTGTAGGATATCCGGAATCTTCGGTTCGCTCATAGGCCTGAAGGTCGCACGAGAAGAGCCATATTTGAGAACTTGACAAAGTATGCGTTTCCAATGTCCAATCACTTGGTGAGTATTTGTTGCTAAATCTGACAAACGTCTTCTTTTCCAAGGTATCCAGGTAGTCCTCGAATTATAACCCCAATGGAGCACAAATTTCCATTGCTAAGTAATACAGTTGTTAAGGGAGGGGTCCTTGGGGCTCTCTGAGCTTGCTTGTTTTCTTGCAGATGTTTCATTACCCTAACTAGGTAACATCATCAGTGCAATTGTTAAGTGGGTTTTCCCCGTTTTACCTTTCTTTCCACGGTTGTTAAGCGAATCACTGGAGCTTTAAGTTAGTAACTCAGGTTTTTGATTTTAATTTGATTTAATTTGATTTTATTTGTCATTTATAGACCGCCCTTTTCCCTGAGGGGACTCAGGGCGGCTTACAATTCGTGGG